AACACACATAAATCCCCCACTTTCATCCCCTCCCCTCCGAAACCCTCCAATCAAACAGGGCCTTAGGGTTTCCAACCATGGATGGGTAGGTTCTTCTAGGTGGCGGGTGCTCCCCCCTGAGGAGGGCGAGTTGCCATGGCGGCGATGCTTCACTCACTGCTTAGGGTTATTCGCTGGAGCCTCTCTCTCTAACGGTCAAAAAGTCTCAACATAGAATCTTATTTTTTTCATGGGATTAGCTCTTTATTCGAAGTTTTGTACTATATGTACGTCTTTAAGAGAAAACATGGACATTCATCGTGTCTATGCACAAGCAAACAAGATTATTACGCAGTATAGGCTAGTAAGTAGTATATATGCCTATATAATAATAATAATAATAATAATAATAATAATAATAATAATAATAATAATAATAATAATAATAATAATAATAATAATAATAATAATAATAATAATAATAATTGTTATGCAATAGTATTTTCTTAGACTAATTTTGGAGTGACTTATGTTAACGGTTTAACATATTATAGTAAATAGTTAATGCCCTTGATGGGTCGAAAAAATCAAATGTATATTAATGTGATATATATTTGATGGGTTATTATCAGGAGTAGTCTAGACTCTAGACATCCCATGTTATAGTATGCACTATATATACAATGGGGAATAATTGTGTATCCAGAATTTTTTTGTGATCGGCGAAACTCACACTAATATTTATTATGAAATGGAAGGAAATAAGAAGGAGGTTACCGAAAGAAAGTATAGTATGAACACTTAATTATAAAATTTTTCTTAATGGTGTCTTACATGATGAGAAGACTCTTATTTACATAGAAAAGTTAATCTTCTTTGAATTAGGAGATAATTGTGAGCAACACAATTATCATCCTGAAATCATGATTATGATTTTTTTTCATTAGTTTGACAATGATGATGATAATTATCTTAATCATAGATAGTTAGAACACACTACATAAAAATTCGCCTCTAATGAAAGACTTTTTGTCCATTCGATATCGGTGGTTTTCCGGGAGAAACTTGCGGTGACAATCAAAGTAGCTTGGTTTTTTACTGAAAGTTAGCCAATTGGCACCTGATTTCTCCATGCATATCAGACATCCCATAAGATCATGTGTGCTCCATCCCGAAAGCATGCCATAGGCAGGGAAGTCGCTAATGATCCAAATGATGGCAGCTTTCATTATGGAATTTTGATCCCTTGAAACATCATATGTTGGTGTCCCAATGGCCAAAAGTTCTTCCATCTCCTCGATAAGGGGTTGGAGATAAATGTCTATTTTTTTCCCTGGATCATTGGGACCCGGACAGATTAGAGTCAAAAAGATAAAATAACTTTTCATGCACATGTCGGGAGGGAGATTGTAAGGAGTTAACATGACCGGCCAACATGAATAGTTCTTCCCAAACCTTCCAAATGGAGCAAATCCGTCTGAACACAATCCCAGTCGCACATTTCGTGGCTCCATCGCAAACTGAGGATGACAACGGTCAAAGTGTCTCCAAGCTTCACAGTCTGAAGGGTGAGACATCATACCCTCTTTTGTTTCGTGCTCAACATGCCATGTCATGTGTTTCGCAGTAGCAGTCGAAGCGTACATCCTCTGAAGTCGTGGAGCTATTGGGAGGTAATACAGTTTAGACAATGCCGACTTATTTCGTGGTTTCTTTCTACTTTGAGGAACATGTTTGTATCTGTTTCCACCACAGAACTTGCAGAATTCAAGTGCCTCATCATCCTTCCAGAACAACATACATCCTTTCGGGCACACATCAATTTCTATATAAGGTAGCCCCAACTTAGACATTAATTGCTTCATGTGATAATATGAATCCGGAAGGTTATGATCACGTGGTAGCATCCTGCCTACTGACTGCAAGACTCTAGTCATGCAAGTTTCAGGGAGACTGTATTCAGCTTTTATGTTCATAAACTCTGTAACGGCGGATAGCTGAGAGTATCCCTCACAATCAGCATACAAGGGTTGATCAGCTGCTTTTAAAACATCTTGAAATCTTTCAGCTAAACCTTCATCCACATAAGGTTCATAAAATATCGGATTTTCATCCTCATGTGGTTGATACGAGGTCGAAGCTTCAGGAGGATCGTTAGATGGTTGAGGGGGGTTGAACTGAGACATCGATGCACCGTATGCGTCATATACCATACGTTGCTCCCATCTCATTTCAGCAGGGTCTTCCCACGCACTCATCTCTGCAGGGACGTTACGAGACGAACCTACCGTTTGTGGTAAAACAGATGGATCCAAAGGTTCGCCATGAGAAGTCCAATTGTAATAATTGGGAAGGAAACCGTCCGCGTACAAATCCCACCCAACTTCATCTGGGTGTTTAAATTTGAGATTTTTACACTTTGAACATGGATATCTCATTTTATCACCACTCATATAAGCCGGGTGTTCAAGTGCGAATTTAATAAACTCCTCAACTCCTTCAAGAAAATTTGATTGCATTCCGTACAATACCGCATGTTTATCATACATCCAAATTCTATTTTGTCTATACATTATGCCTGAATATTATAATAAAAAAATTATACAGGTTAAAAACTCTAAATTATAAACATTACCAACATATTATATGTGGAGTATTATTAATATATTAAAATTAACTAATTCCCTAAAATTCCCTTAAAATTAACTAATTCCCTTAAAATTAACTAGTTTCCTTAAATTTCACTAAAATTCACTAAAATTCCCTTAAAATTAACTAATTCCCTAAAATTCCCTTAAAATTAACTAATTCCCGTAAAATTAACAAGTTTACTTAAATTTCACTAAAATTCACTAAAATTTCCTTAAAATTAACTAATTCCCTAAAATTACCTTAAAATTAACTAATTCCCTTAAAATTAACTAGTTTCATTAAATTTCACTAAAATTCACTAAAATTCCCTTAAAATTAACTAATTCCCTAAAATTCCCTTAAAATTAACTAATTCCCGTAAAATTAACTAGTTTACTTAAATTTCACTAAAATTCACTAAAATTTCCTTAAAATTAACTAATTCCCTAAAATTCCCTTAAAATTAACTAATTCCCTTAAAATTAACTAGTTTCCTTAAATTTCACTAAAATTCACTAATTCCCTTAAAATTAACTAATTCCCTAAAATTAACTAATTCCCTTAAATTTCACTAAATTTCACTAAAATTTCCTTAAAATTAACTAATTCCCTAAAATTCCCTTAAAATTAACTAATTCCCTTAAAATTAACTAATTTCCTTAAATTTCACTAAATTTCACTAAAATTCCCTTAAAATTAACTAATTCCCTAAAATTCCCTTAAAATTAACTAATTCCCTTAAAATTAACTAGTTTCCTTAAATTTCACTAAAATTCACTTAAAATTAACTAATTCCCTAAAATTCCCTTAAAATTAACTAGTTTCCTTAAATTTCACTAAAATTCACTTAAAATTAACTAATTCCCTATAGTTCCCTTAAAATTAACTAATTCCCTTAAAATTAACTAATTGCCTAAAATTTCACTAAAATTCACTAAAATTCACTAAAATTCCATTAAAATTAACTAACGTCCAATAATTAATATTATTAAACTATAAACATGCACAATACGTTAATGACATTAATTTAATCCACAATACTAAAATTATCAACATCTTAATCTTATTAATAATGCACATTTAACAATTTACTAAATTAAATAATATGAGCAAATCCAATAATTTGAGCATATATATATAATAAACACATTTAAATTAAATTAACGAACCCTAATTTAAATCATTAGTAATCCTAAATTAGGCCGCCTTAATTAACAATAATTGCCAATATAAAGAAATCATATACTTATATTTAATCATATATATATATATATAAAGTCATTTGAATTAAATAATACTTACATTTAACTAATATTAATAATATGCATTTAAATTATATTTAATCATATATACTTACATACGTATTTAACTAATTTACGTAATTTTAACCCTATATTTTAAAATTAATAACATATGTATTGCCAATATTATATTTAATAATATACTTACATTTGTATTTATTAACAAATTTACATATTTAACTAATTTACAAAAAATACGTAATTCAAATTACATACCTTATCTGCAAAAACAGGAAAAATGATATGAGATGGGTAGATTACATCCTTCAATTCTATCTGGAATTCTATCTGGAGTAGATGGTGTGATTTTGTTGAATGAAGCGGAGGCTGCATATATAAAATTTGTAGTCACGGACTTAGTCACGGATGTGTCCGTGACTACATTGTTTTGTACGAATTGTCGGTGCACTTTTAATTTGGAACGTTGAAAAAATCAATTTTTCACTTGTCACAGAATTAGTCACGGAACCATCCGTGACTAATTTCAAATTTTAAAAAAATCCCGCCGGAGGCGAAAATGGGTTGGCCGGAACACTTTAGTCACGGACTAGGTCCGTCACTACCTATAGTCACGGACGTAGTCACGGACAAATCCGTGACTACTTTTTTTTAACCGTTCTGTGACTAAACCGTGATTAGAACCGTGACTAACTAGTCACGGACCAAATCCGTGACTACGATCCGTGACTACAGGCGAATTTTTTTGTAGTGACATGACTAATTCAATTACTCAGTATATTTTAACAATATTAACAGTAGCACTCATATTTCATTTTAAACATTATTATGAATTTAAAGTTGCTACACATGTAAGGAATAGAAGATACCATGATGTAACATTAACATAGACTCCATCCATCTCCTTTCTATTCATATTCATTTGATCAATACAAATCACTCTCAATCTCTTACTTTAAGTATCGATTTTTTTATTAAATTTTATTTAGGTTTTTGCAACTTTGTAAAATTTTTATTGTAATTTCTAAATATGTAAGTTTTTTTCAACAAATAATTTGAGTGCGGACGAAAATCCGTTTGTTTTATTGTCGGTAAAACATCGTAAACTGCAATGAAACAATAATAGAAAGACGGAGGTAGTATAGAGCAACGGTGGGGAGTAGGCGACAAAATATTGATTATTATTACGGACTACATATCATAGTGCATCAAAATTGGACAATGGCTTATAAACCGAGGTACATTTTAACTCATCTCAGTCAACTAAGTTACAAGTCACTTATTTTACTTATTCATTTATTCTATTGATAAAGTGAATAAGCATAATAAGGCAATTAATCCCTCGAAAGGGGACCTATAATACTAATTTATGATTCTCATATTTAGTTAATTAATTAGCCCACTTGGACATGATTATGATCATTACTGTCCGGAAGCACATTTAGAGGGGTACAAAATCGTACAGAAGAAAGTGCCTTGTCAAAGTGTTTGGCTTTAGTTCCAAGATACTCACTCCACGTAATCTCCCTATACATCGGCGGCTGCCCTTTCGCCACCAGTTTGGACAACGGCGATATCTTCACCCCCGGCGGAGGGCCGTAGAGATACGCCACCGACAACCTGTGCCTGCTCCGGTTCACCACCGCGCGGTGGAGCACGCTATGGTAAACCCCATTTGAGAGTATGTGGAGGAGGTCTCCGGCGTTGACGACCAGCGCCCCGGGAATCGGAGGGACGGGGACCCACCCGTATCCTTCCCGAAAAACTTGTAACCCGCTAGTGTTATTCTGGTGGAGAATGGTGAGAAGGGTCGAATCCGTGTGCTCGGCAAGGCCCATGGCCCGGCCCGGATCTGGACAGGCCGGGTACGAGTTGAGCTGAATGGCAGAACACCTTCCTTTGGGCTGATCCATTCTTGCCCCAACGGCCCATTTCACTTCTTCCTCCGAGACCCCTATGTACTCTAAAATTAGCTTGGTCAATCTTCCCGCTAACTTCTTCATCTCGTTTTCGTACTCTTCTACTAGGTCACTGAACCAAACAAAAACACTTTCAATTAGCATTATTATTGAGAAAAAGAAAACAAATTACACAATCTTATAAAACGACTTTGGATTTAATTTACGTTTTAAAAATAAATTTGAATGAGGTACACTAAATCTAGTATACTCCGTAATATCATTGTCTAATTTGATTATGTATGATGATTTGATTGATTTGGCTCCCCTTTATATTCAGGGTCTCTACGCCATTTGTAAATTTGTCATGTTGGGAAGATTTGCGGCAATTAGTTTGAAACATCACATCTGATCTTAAAAATTAGCTAAAGATGAACCCGACCAAATTAATTATTCTCGATCAAATTACACATCAAACAGTTAGATTTAAATCTTTTAGCCCATTTGGTAGCACAAAAATCGATTGATTTGACTGATTTTGCTGAAATTTATCAAGTTCTGGCTGCATTGACTGATTCTGCTGATTTAAGAAAAAATAATTTTTAAATATATTTTATTAATAAAATAAAGACAAAATTATATGTAAAAATGGCTAAAATGATCATCTACTGTAACTTCAATTTTACCTTTTCTTCTTATTACGCAACTCAGCGCGCGAAAAAAAAAAAGTTACGTATTTGGTGAAAAAGTTAGTTGATAAGCCCGATAAATCGAAAAAGAGTGTCGGCGAATGGTATTTTAAGTGTTTCAAAATCGCATATTACGGAGTACGGGCTATAGCCTGGGGAGTGGGAGACAAATAATGGTGGGAAGTGGATGGATGATATTAAGTGTTAGAGGGACCTATTTTTCACATACAATTCAATTAGTGTATTTTCGTGTCATTAATAATTTTTAATAGTATTATTTTCTTCACACTCACAATATATAGATATTAAGATATACATATATAGATAGGGTTCGCGCGATTAGTGGAAATCTTTTTGAATGAAATTTTAATCTTTAATTTATAGTAAAGGAAGTTGACGTTTTTCGGTTTTTGAACTTTGTTTTCATCGGTGCAAGTTGGCGGATATGTCTTCGTAAGATCAAATTGAGATGTAAAAATAAATACGGAGTATGAGTTTTAAAACTAACTTTATCATTTGACTTTATTGTTCTCCTAAATTATTAATTCATAGGAAACGTCTTGAAATAGTAATAAAATTAACGTGATGTTTTTAAATATAAATATTATACGTAGTGTCTTTCCTCAATAGGAATAGCTTAGCTAAATCCCAAAGTCTTACTGTTGAGTTTGTCGGTTTGTGTGTCCTACTTTAAAAGAAAAGCAAGTGCCGTAAATAATTAGGAATAAAAAGTTTGTGGATTTGGAAACATGAGTATTATTATTTTTTTATAAGTAATCGTTTCCATATTTTTTTGATATTATAATACTTCAATTCAAACGAATTTTTAAAACTTGATTAGAATTACTTATTAATTATATATGTAGAGAATTAAAAATATAGTTCTCATGTTCCGAAATCCCAACACGTGTTTAATTTACTCCTATTTTAAACTCTCAAATTTCAATAACAAAATACTACTATTGGCTATAGTCTATTACTAGTAATAATAACAATATAAAATAACTTATTTTCCAATAGTTATGAGTCACGACAAACTTTCAGACCCGATCAATATATAAATGATCGCTAATTTCTACGTGGTAATAGATTATTATCTATAGTGCACATCCCACCATACATAGATAAGTATTAATATACCGGTGGGTTATTAAGGGAGTGTCAGAAGGGTTAGGTCCCGGGTTTGAATCTCAGCAACTGCGATGAGGAGTTACTATGCTAAAAAAACATATGACCTCTGTAAGTACCGGGAGCAGAACTTCACTCTCTATCTGTCAGATTCGGATTATAGTCCAATTTACAAAGTGTCAACGTACCGTCCGGTCGTGGTTGGGGACCCTCAGGAATGAGGTGCCATTGTTTTTAGAAAAGTATTAATATTTCCAACACTAAAGTTTTGCGCAAAAATGTCCAAGATTATACTACTTAAAACATATTCCCTCCAATCACCTATTTTTTATTTTTTGTCCCGGCCAATAAATTGTCTAAGACTTCATTTAGTAATATTTGTGTAATTCTAATTCATACCGAATATTACTTTTATCATGATTCATGACACTATCTATTTAATAACAACTAGATAACTCTATATTTGTTAAAGCCACACCACTGCTGGTCCGATTACTCTATAGATCCGAAGTTAGTATATAGAAATTGGTTAATATAGGATCAAAACACACTCAAAATGTAAATATAAGACTAAATGTATGTTATTCCCCAAATAGGACTTATTTAGTCATATTAAAAGAATAAGTAGATTAGAAGGTCCTAAAATAGGAACTTTATCATTGTTTTAATCCTTTCTAGAATTTTGGATTGAAAATAAAATCAGTTTTTGGAAGAAAGTGGAGTTTTATTATAAAAGATTGAGTACTATTTTAGTCTTAATATGATAAAAGATTATTATAAATTTAAGGAGACCTTATTTAGTCAACATATTGAATAATGTGGTACGTACCAGAAAGTGGAGTAGTCATGAGGCCATAGAAGGCGGGCATGTTCGAGCGGCGAGCCGACGATGGTGAAGCCTTCGGACCACATGCGTTTGGGAAAGAAGCACGAAATCCGAGCGACGCCGTAGCCGGAAACGCCGTCGACGGGGGAGCGGGCGGCCTTGAGCTTCTGGTGCAAGGGGAGGGAAAAGAGGCTTTTCCCGGCGGACTCGATACGGTCCAGCAAATCTTGGGAAATGCCGTGGTTTTTCACCTGAAACGCCCCCCACGTCTTGCATGCACGCCCTATGAGCTCCGCCGCCACCGCCTGCCTCACGCCCAGGTCGATCACCGGAATCGATTCCCCCGTGGAAGCCGCGGACGACGGCAACGTCGTCCATGCATGAGACTCCGGCAATTCTTTGACGGAGTTCAGGTCTAGTTGTTTTTGCACTTGGGCAAAGGATGGTTTATTATCTGCAATCCTTGAAGGCATATTTATGTCGTACGTACGTTGTTGTGTTATATTGTACGACGTTGCAAAGCAGGGGAGTTGAAGATACCATGGCGGGGGGTTACATATTTATAGATAGATCTAGAGGGTTAGGGGAGGGCCAGAGTGCGTGGCCTGCTGGTGAGATATATTAAAATATTAATTGTGCTTAATATAATAACCAATAATTAATAAATATATAATAATAATAATTGAGTACTATTTTACGGAGTATTTTTTAAAAGCTTGCAAGGAGACAAGAAGAACGATAAGTACAGTGACAATAATCCTCCGTAGCCTACATGGGACAGTGGGACACAGATAGTTTGAATCATTGTTAATGTACACACTTTTGTACATTTGATTGCCTGTCTAGACAGCCGATCGTGAATTAATTCTGTCTTTTTTCTTAAGGAATTGTTTCTGTACACAAGCCATTATGAGTGTACAAAATTGTGTACAAATAGATTTTTTGATTGTTTAATGGCGTCCTTGTCAAGTCCCCCGTTTCACTTTTGGTGTCCTTATTCATGATTAATAATAAATTAATAATGCTAACAGTCCATTTGTGTAGCTAACTCGTAGAGAGTGGTACAACATATATACAAGGAGTAAATATCGGGTTCAAATTTTATCAATTGCGATGAAAAATTACTGTATAAAAATATTTAATGTTAAATGTTCAGCTAGTGTCTTCATTTCTTGTTGATTGTATAAATAACTCTCTTAAATAGTTTAATTTGATCAATGCATTTGATTGATCAAGTGTATTATAGATTTCTCATTTATTTTAATGTAACATTAAAAATAGTGAGGTATTACTATTGTTAATTATCATTAGTATACAGTCACAAGTAAGAATAATTCAATTCCCACTTGAATCTGTCTGTGACAAAGTAAAGGGTATATCAATTTACCGTGGACCTAATAAATAATAGGAAAAACACCTGTATAGGACAAAAACTCGTGACAATTTCCTAGATATGACCGTCGGCTGGGAATGGTGACCTCCGTGGGTGCCTTAGCTTCAAAACCATAGCACAGGGCAAAAGGCGTTTCACCCGTTGCCCTCCTCGGCGTAGTACGATAGCACCACAGGATGTTGGGGAGCTCGTCGGCCCAACTTCCTCCTGCGTCCTGTAGGTTCTTCTTAAGCCCCTCCATTATGGTTCTGTTGGCGTTCTCAACCTGCCCGTTGCCTTGAGGGTAGGCAACGGAGGAGAAACATTGCTTTATCCCCCATTCTCGAAGGAGCTTTTGGAAGGGCGCCGCTTCGAACTGGGTGCCGTTGTCGGATATGATCTCTTGGGGGACACCAAAGCGGGTGAGAATGTTCTTGTGGACAAACTTCTGACACCTAGCCCCCGTGATGCTGGCCAAAGGTTCCGCTTCGACCCACTTGGTGAAGTAGTCGACTGCGACGATGATGTAGCGGTTGTTGCCAGCAGCTCTGGGTAGAGGGCCGACCAGGTCAATCCCCCATCTCGAAAAAGGAATTGCAGTGCTGACGGGGGTGTAGTTGACGGCTGGCTGACCAGGGGCCTTTTGAAGCACCTGGCACGTGGTGCATTTCCTTGCTAGATCCGCACAATCCCTCGCCATCGTCGGCCAGAAATAGCCCTGGACGACGAGACGCCGGGACATGCTGAAGGGGCCCTGGTGTGAGGAGCAAACACCGCAGTGAACTTCATCCATGGCCATGTCGGCCTCGTCATGGTGTAGGCATCGGAGGAGAGTACCATTATAGGATCGTTTGTAGAGTTTGCCTTCTTCAATGGTGTAGCTTGGGGCCCTGAGTTTGGCGAGCTTGGCCCTCTCCTCGTCCTGGGGTAGCTCCCCCGTCGTGATGAAGGTGGTGATGTCGGAGATCCAGTCCTCCGGTCGTTGTTGGATGCACAAGATGGGGCTGGCATGGATGTTGGACATGCTCAGCTCCTCGATCTTGGCTAACTGGGAGATGTGCTCCGGAGTGCCCGAGCTGAGTTTGGAGAGGATGTCGGCCTCGGCGTTCTCGGCCCTTGGGATCTGTGTGATCTCGTGGGTTTTGAACGCCTTCAGCAACTCCTATGCCGCTTGCTTGTATTGCTTCATTCGGCCTTCCTTTGCTTCGTACGTACCCTCAACCTGGCCCACTACCAGCTTGGAGTCGCATCTGATTCTGATGTGCCGGGCTCTGAGGCCGGCGGCGAGTCTGAGGCCGCTGAGTAAGTTGAAGTTGAAGTTGAAGCGGATGGCGTAGTAAGCTCTGAATCCTTCAGGGGATATGAGGACGACGACGCCGCCACATGATTTCGCGGCCGACGAGCCGTCGATGAAGAGGATCCATGTGTCATCGGGCTTTGGCCCGGGGGTGGTAGTGGTTGTCTCCCTTGCCGTGCATTCGGTGACGAAGTCGGCCAAGGCTTGCCCTTTGATGGATGGCCTTGGCTTGATCTCAATCTGAAATTGGCTGAGGAAGCTCACCCATTTGACCATCCTTGAGGAGCTAGTGGGGCTCCTCATGAGTGCGCCAAGGGGTTGCTGGGTCAGTACGTGGATGGTATGGGCCTGGAAGTAGTGCCCCAGCTTTTTCACCGTATGGACGATGGCTAGCACCGTCTTCTCAATGGGGGAGTACCTGAGCTCGGCCTCCCTAAGTGTTTTGCTGATGTAGAAAATGGCCTTCTGCACCCCTTCGTCCTCACGGATGAGCACGGAGCTGATGGCCGACGTGCTCACCCCTAGGTACAAGAAGAGGGTTTCGCCGGTTTTGGGCTTGGAGAGCACGGGTGGGGACGAAAGGTACCTCTTCAGCTCTTCGAACGCTTCCTGGCACTCCGTCGTCCATTTGAAGCTGTTTGCTTTGCGCATGATCTGGAAGAAAGGGAGTGACCTCTCGGCTGACTTGGAGAGGAAACGGCTCAGGGCCGCCAGTCGCCCTGTCAGCCGTTGTACCTCTTTGACGTTGCGGGGTGGCTCCATGTCGATGATGGCCTGTATCTTTTCCGGATTTTTTTCGATGCCTCTCCAGCTGACCATGTAGCCGAGGAACTTGCCGCCTTGGACGCCAAAGGCGCACTTCTTGGGGTTGAGACGGAGCTTGAACTCCTTCATGATTTCAAAAATTTCCCGGAAGTCGTCCGCATGTGTGGTGGCTTGCTTGCTCTTGACAATCATGTCGTCGACGTATGCCTCCATCGTCCGGCCGAGGACTGCTCTAAAGATCTTGGCCACCATCCTGGTATAGGTGGCGCCGGAGTTTTTGAGTCCGAAAGCAATGACGAGGTAGCGAAAAATTCCCTCCGGGGTCATGAATGTCGTCTTCTCAGCGTCATCTTCATGCAAATAAATTTGGTGGTACCCTCTGAAAGCATAAAGGAACGACATCAACTCGCATCCCGTCGTCTCGTCCACCAACTGATCAATGTTGGGGAGAGGGAATGGGTCCATGGGGCACGCCTTGTTCAGGTCAGTGTAATCAACACACATTCTGAATGTCGGCGGTTTTTGGGCGAGGACGACGTTGGCTAGCCACGTCGGGTACTTCACCTCCTTGATGTGGTGGATTGAGAGGAGCATGGCGACCTCCCCTTTGACGAAGTCCCGCCTGTCGGCGGATAAGTAGCGCCGCTTCTGCTTGACAGGTGCGGAGGCTGGATCGACGGTCAGCCGGTGGGTGATCACCTGCCGGCTGATGCCTGGCATGTCGTCCGGGCCCCACGCAAAGATAGCGGCGTATGACCGTAAGACGAGGAGGATGGCGTCCCGCTGGTCCTGTGGGAGTTGCTTCCCGATTTTGAGGACGCGCTCCGGCCGGGAGGTATCACGAGGGACTTCCTCGACCTCCTCGGCCGGTTCGGCATGCGGCCTCTTCTCGTCCTTGGCCACGGCTGCCGTGATGGTGTCTATCCTCTGTCCTTCCCTCTCGGCCGACCTCGTTAGCTTGAGGTAGCATGCTCTGGCTATCCTCTAGTTTCCTCTGGCGTAGCCGATGCCGCCATTGGTGGGGAACTTCAGACACAAGTGCTTCATGGAGATGATGGCCTCCAAGTCCTCCAGTGCTGGCTGCCCCAAGATCAGGTTGTGGGTGCACTGGAGGTTGACCACCATGAACTCCATGTCAATTTTGGCGTGGTGGGGGCCGTCGCCGACCTCCACGGGGAGGACTATCGTGGCCTCGGCGTCGATAGAGTCCCCGGTGAAGCCGGACAACGGTGTTTTGATCGGCTTCAGCAGAGCTTTGTCCAGCTTCAGCTGCCTGAAGGTGTCCAGGTACATCACGTTGACGGAGCTCCCCGTATCGATGTAAGTGCGGTGGATGATGGAGTCACCGATCTCACACCGGATGACGAGGGCGTCCCTATGTGATTCCGTACCCGGAGGCAGATCTTTGTCGGTGAAGGTGATCGCCTCCGTTCGCTGCTTCTTCGGCTGGGGGGGGGACGTGGGACACCTCCCCAATGTAAATGGATCGGGCCCATTTCTTCCTCTGGGTGACGGATTCCCCCCGGTGTTCCCATCTACGATGAGGTGAATATGGTTCTTCTTTGGCGGAGGCTCTTCAAAGTCCTCGTCATCGCTGAGCCTGCCGATCTCCCGCTTCTTCGTAGAGGGTTCGCCCCCAGATTTGCCGGTGTTTACCCACGTATTTTTGCACAGGCCACCTTGCTGGATGGCAGTATGTGCCGCCTTGCTGGATGGCAAGGACCTCCTCGGTTGGCCGAGGGGCTTGCTCAATGAGGCCATGCTTCTCGACGTAGTCGAGGATGGTGCTGACCGGGTGGGTGAGGGGGACCCCCGGCCGTTCCAACCTCGGCCGCCATTGGCGGTCTTTCTTACTTTGTCCACCAGAGCCGTGACGGCCCTGGGCACCCTGGCCGGCCGGGGATGGTCCCGGGACCGGCGAAGGATTTGTCTTCTTGGAGGGATGGCCTCCCTCTTTTTTGTGGTTGTGGAGCTCGTCGGCGTCAGCGTACAAGCTCCCGCGCTGGAGCGCCTTTGCGTACGACCTTGGAGGGTCGGTGATGAGGCTCCTGGCGTACGGGGAGCTGCTGAGCGCTCCCTGGTATATGACGAGGAGGGTGCGCTCATCGGCCCCCTCGACCTCTTCGGTCTCCCTCGTCCACTGATCAATGAATGAC